ATAAAAATTCGTAAAAAATACTAAAAAATTAAGAAAAACATTTCGATATTAAATTTTTTTTTTTTTTCAAATAATTAAAAAAATTAAAAAAAAAATAAAAACTCAAAAAAAAAAAAAATCGTCGCCGCCTCTGCCGCCTCAGCACCACCACCTCCAGTCACCAGGGAAAAAATATGCCAAGTTCATTACGAATGCCATATTTATGGCAGAAAAAAATGAAAATGTTGGCATTCGAAAAGAGAAATATGCCACTTTTTTGGCATTTTCAGAAAAAAAAATGGCATTTTTCTGGGAAAATGGCATTTTTTTCATCGGCCGGAGGTGGTGGTGCTGGGAGGTAGGCGGTGGGAAAAGCATCCATATTTTTTTAATTTTTTTTTACGGAGTTTTACTATTTTTTATTAATTTTTTTAAAAATATAACTATTTAAAAAAAAAGTTTTTGAATTTTTTATTTTATAAAAATTTTATAAATTTTTTAATTATATTTCTACGAATTTTTTGTTTTTTTTTCGAATTTATTATGAATTAAACATTTAATTATGGCTTTTGACTATTTTTAATTCATATTTAATGGAAGGGTAAGAATGGAATGCAAAAATAGGTATGTTTCCAATAGGACTCATATGGTCCTATTTTGGAATAAAAACATAGCAAGTCCTATTTTAGGTTTTTGCCATAGTTTTAGTCCTATTTGAACTGATTTCTATTAGAGCATCTCCATTCATGCTCTCTAAATAAACGATTTTTTTATTACACATCATTGCCACATCACATTTATTCAATAAATTTTAAATAATCTCAAAGTTTAAAACTCTTCATCAACAATAATACTCAAATAATCAGTTTTTTCCGGACATGCATTAAATGTAATTTAACTATAATCTAAAATAATCCGGGATTGGAATCTTGATACCGGATTTTCTTTTTCAATAATCTCACTAAATAATCTCCCACTCACAATGATAATCTTTAAAATAATCTTACACATCATCCAATTAATCTTCAAATAAACTCATGGATGAGGATGCCCTTAGGTAATCCAAAGCTACGGTCTTCACTTCACTCTTCCGGCCGACCGTCCCTGCGCCTTGCGCAAGCAACCAAGCAGGCAACGTAGCATCGCAGGAGTGAGTCACACCAGCCACGCCGGACGCCGCCACACCGGACCGTCATCTGCCATCTCGCCGACCGCCGTTCGTTCATCGCCCGCCCCTGTGACCGGTAGGTTCTTTTATGTGATATCACTCAATAATTTTATATTTGTATGTGTTATGTGTAATACGAGTATGTTGTTGAAATGCTATTATATTCTTTTGTAGTTCCTCATTTGTTAAGAAAATTATTTTATTAATTTATTATGTGAATTGTGATTTGTGAACGGTGAACATGTGCTGAAGCGGTCAATTCTCTACTGCTTACTATAAACTATAAAACTATTTGTATTTGTGATTTATGAATTGGGATTTATGCTATAAAGCTATATTGCTATTGTTATATGCTTCGTATTTAATTATCAGTGACTACTGATTAAATAAAAATCAAAATTAATTATTATATGAATCTACTAATGTATAATTTGGTAGGTTAGACATGTCAAAATTTCTGATACCGAGTGGAGAGCCATAAAAGAATTCTAGTGACTTTAAATCAACTTACTAAATTTTACTTCATATGCTTCATGTGAAGCCCGTTTGGTAGCATAAAAATCGGGTGATTTGGCTGATTCTGTTTAAATTTATGAAGTTCTGGTTGAAGTGCCTGCATTGGTTGATTCTGCTGTTTTAAGAAAAAATTATTTTTAAAATATATTTTATGAATAAAATAAAGAAAAAATTATATGTAAAAATAGCCAAAATGGTTATCTACAGTAACTTCAGCCAATACAGCCCGAAAAGTAACTTCAACCTTACTTTTTCTGTTTATTACAGAATTTAGCGCGTGAAAGCAAAAGTTTAGTGTTTGGTGAAAAAGTTGATCGATAAGTCTGATAAGCCGAAAAACAGTGTTGCCAAATGATCTCGTAATTTTTCAGCACCCCTTCAAAAAATGTTCTGGTTCCACCACTGTGGATGCCTGGAGCATGACCAAACCGTATAGGCTTTTTAAAATTATGGAGGAATGTTTGGGTAACAAAAGCAAATATTTAGAGTATTTGAGTGAGAGTAACCAAATACTTCTTGGTACTCCAAATTGCTTATAGAAGTACATTTTTAGAAATGAGTTAATCTTTTTCTGTCAAAAAAAATGCTCATGTTAGGTAAAGACATCAAAGTAACAAAACACAAAACACTCGGATTTCGGATTCGACAGAAACATTTGGTTAAGCTATAACTCCTAGTTTCTTAGACCATTTCTAGTGCTAAAGAGTTCAAAAGTTAAATAAATACCCTTTCGATATCAGCATAGTGTTTAGGTTTCGTGAATTGTTAAGAAAATTTGGTATTCCATCTTAAAAGGTTAACTTGATAGAAGGAGTAGGTCATATCTTAATACAATGTTTAATTCTTTTAGAGATATTCAGTGTGAGACTTTAACATCATCCTCACAACCAGACACTTCGTCTGGATCGTGCCGTCATTCATTTTTTCATTGGCTCGTCATTATCATTTTTTATGTGAAAAGGTTCAAATAAGCCCTTGTACTATTTCCAAACCGTCACTTAAGCCTCTTTACTAAAAAAAGTATCACACAAGTACGCCTACTTTACAAAGTGAATCAATTTGACCATTTAATCAGTTTTTGACCTGCAATAGCAGGTTTTTAATACATAAAGATTCTAAAAAGAATTGTTCAAATTTGAAGAAATATATACAAAAATTGTGAAAATTTTTAGAATATCAAAGTCAATAGTTTCTTATTTTTTTAAAAAAAATTGTATATTCGACTTCTATTTAAAAGGTTTTTAAAGTTTTGTTTTTTCTTTTTTTGTTTTTACATTATTTTTTCAGTTTAATATATTTTTTTAATTTTTTACTTTAATGTTTTTAAAATTTTATCTATTTTTATATGTACACTATTTTTATATTATTAATAGATTATTTATTCAAATTAATATGAATTTTTGTAAGATTTATCAATATTCCTAATTTAATTTAAAAAAAAACTAACATCCTAAAGCAGGTCAAAGAGCTTGGTTGATTGTATTTTATAAGTAGACATACTTATATGATACTCCCTCCGTCCCATTAGGAGGTTCCAATTACGGTTTACGATGCTTGATTAACGATAAAGCAACTTAGGTGTTGTTCTGTTCGTCTTATTGCTTATTCTTATTTTATTCAGATCAGATCAGAAAAATTCAGATCAAATCAGATCAAATAAAAAAGATTCAGATCAGATCAGATCAGAAAGATTCAGATCAGATCAGAAACATTCAGATCAAATCAAAAGTATTCAGATCAGATCAAATCAGATCATAAACATTCATAGCAAATTGGAAACAATCTATTATTACCGATTATATTATTATTATTATTGTTGTTGTTGTTTTTGTTGTTGTTATTATTATTATTATTATTATTATTATTATTATTATTGTTATTATTATTATTATTATTATTGTTGTTGTTGTTACTATTGTTACTATTGTTACTATTGTTACTATTCTTACTATTGTTACTATTCTTACTATTATTACTATTATTACTATTATAACTATTATTACTATTATTATTATTACTATTATTATTCTTATTATTATTATTCTTATTCTTATTATTATTCTTCGTACTCTTATTATTCTTCTTATTCTTCTTATTCTTCATATTATTATTATTATTATTATTATTATTATTATTATCATTATCATTATCGTTATCGTTGTCGTTGTCATTGTCGTTTTCGTTGTCGTTGTCGTTGTCGTTGTCGTTGTCGTTTTCGCTGTCGTTGTCGTTGTCGTTGTCGTTGTCGTTGTCATGTCGTTGTCGTTTTTGTTACTATTTTTGTTGTTACTATTATTGTTGTTACTATTATTGTTGTTATTATTGTTGTTATTATTGTTGTTATTATTATCATTATTATTATTAGTATTATTATTGTTACTGTTATTGTTATTATTATTGTTATTATTATTGTTATTATTATTATTATTATTATTGTTATTCTTATTGTTATTGTTATTGTTATTGTTATTGTTATTGTTATTATTATTGTTATTATTATTGTTATTATTATTGTTATTATTATTGTTATTATTATTGTTATTATTATTGTTATTATCATTGTTATTATTATTGTTATTATTATTATTATTATTTTTATTATTGTTGTTATTATTATTGTTATTATTGTTGTTATTATTATTGTTATTATTATTGTTATTATTATTGTTATTATTATTGTTATTATTATTGTTATTATTACTGTTATTATTACTGTTATTATTACTCATCATGATCATCATCATGATCATCATCATCATCATCATCATATTATTATTATTATTATTATCATATTATTATCATCATATTATTATCATATTATTATCATATTATTATCATATTATTATCATATTATTATTATTAAGTAATTATAATTATAATAATAGTTATTGTTATTATTTATTTATTATAATTATTATTGATATTATTTATTATTATTATTATTGATATTATTATTAGAATTATTATTAGTATTAATATTATTATATATCGGTTTAGAAAGTTAAGATCAGATCAGAAGGACTCAGATCAGATCAAAAGCATTCTGATCAAATCAGAAAAATTCAGATCAGATCAGATCAGAAAAATTCAGATTTGATCAGATCAGAAAAATTAAGATCAGATCATATCAGATCTTAAAAAATTCAGATAAAAAACATTCAGATCAGACGAAGAGAACAACTTCTTAATCCTTGTTCACACTCTGATTATTTTTAGTAAATAAAATTTACATATTCAGAAACCACATTAAAACTTCTACAAAGTCTGATAAAAAAACCTGAATTTGATAAAAATTTGATATAAAACAAAAGATTAAGAATGATTTAAGTTGACCATGTGAATAGTGGACGAGAACCTTTGAATGGGACGGAGGGTGTACTTTTTTTAGTACATGGGCTTAAGTGACGGATTAGAAATAGTAGAAAAACTTATTTGACTCCTTTTCCATTTTTTATAATTGTGTCATCAATCTTCATAAAGGGGCCAACACTATGGATTGATTTGACTCTGATATCATGAGAATTACTTTAGGATAGTAAAGTTGTTTATTCATTATGTAACAAAGGTATAAATACACAATCCGTGCACTTGGGCCTTAAACAAGACTACAAGAGCCCTATGTGAATATACAATAAACCTAGCTAAGCTAATAGGAATAATAAAAATAATAATATAAATTATATATACATAATATTCCTTAACACGTAGTTCTGTTACGAGTTGGCTTGTGTTTCTTGGATACTCTCTGATATCTTGGAAAATCAAGAAACAACATACAACCTCTCGTTCTTCTGCCAAGGCAGGATATCGGTCTATGGCCTCGGCTACATCTGAACTCAAATGGGTTAAAGCGCTCTTGCTTGATCTCGGTATCGATCATCCTCAATCTATGCCGTTGTTTTGTGACAGTAAATCCGCTCTTCACATTGTTGAGAACCCGGCTTTTCACAAACTAACTAAACACATTTAAGTGGATTGTCATTATGTTCGTGATGAGGTTCAAGATGGGACAATATGCACTTCACATGTATCTACTACAAAACAACTTGCCGACATCTTCACTAGCTAAGATCTTGGGCGCCGGGTAGTTTCGTTTTCTACTCAGCAAGTTGGACATTTCTTATCCGCATGCTCCAAATTGAGGGGAGTGTTAAGGAATATTATGTATAGTTTGTATTACTATTTGTATTGTGAAAGAATGACAAGAATATTATTTAGGGAGTTTAGATGGACAAAAATATCACTATTATTTCTCTAGAAAAACTTATTTGACTCCTTTTCCATTTTCCCCGTCCGTCTCTTTGCGCCTTCACCATACCCACACAGCTTTCCTTCTCTGCGCCTTCTCTTCTCCCCTCCACCGATCGACGAAGCTCTCCGCCGCCATATCCCCATAGAGCCCCCCTTCTATTTCTTCATTTTTCGGTCGGTGGAAGGCAACGACAATCAAATACGAAACTGTTCACCATTTCGGAATCCAGATCTAGAATGGCTAGGGTTTCTTAATTGGATTGTGATGGCTAATGTTACTGGGAAGGGCGGGGAAGTGGTGCGCGGCGGCTACGGCTGATTGGGGGTTGAGACGACTAGGTTTTTTCTCACATGGTGCGGGAAGGGACGGTGGCCGGGGTTTAGGGAAGAGGCAGCGGTGGAGATGACAGGCCTGGCTGCGAACGGGACTGAAATTAAAATGAGGGATAAGGGATGGGTTTCCGGCAAGGTCTGGGGGCAGTGTGACAGAGAGGAGGTTGGGGAAGGGGCAGGGGAGGTGGCTGGGAGTGGCAGTGACAGAGAGGAGGTCGGGGAAGGAACTGGAGAGGTGGTTGGGGGTGGCAGTGACAGAGTAGGGGTTAGGCTGAGGGCTGTGGAGGAGGGTCTGTGGAGGTGGATGGAGGATGGGGATGGGCTGGGGAGTCAGGGTAGCTGGGGAGTCACTGCCTACCACAATGGCGGTCCAGGCGTCCAGCCGGAACAGCCTAAGGGGCCGAGGCTGTCGGACCAGGGGAGGATGGATGTAAGGTTTCAGAGTTGGGCTGGACCGTGGGGGGGGGGGGGGGGGGGGGGCAGTGGCGGTGGCCGACCGGAGTAGTGGTCGCGATCGTGGTGGGGAGGGGCAGTGGGGAGGGTGCAGGTGTGGGGCGATGCGGCGGTGGGCACCGGGCCAGATGGCAATTAGCCACTGGTTTTGGGGTGCTGGGTGGGGAATGGGCAAGGCGGTCTACGAGTGTCGGACATACTGGTGTGATGGTCGTGTTGGCGGCGTGGTAGGTGGCGGCAAGAGATGGGCACTAGCCGGCCGTGGAGGTCACTATTTTCCGGAAAAAGTCACCTGAAAATTTTCCGACGATCATAGTGACACGATTTACGACAACGGTGACGTCCAAAAGTGACACGAAAGTCGGTAGTGACATTCAAAAGTGACATAAAAATCTGGAAGTGACATATGAAAGTGACATAAAATTTTTGCAGTGACATCATGTTTTCCAAATATATGACCTTCTTAGTCACATTTTTGTTTTTTTTCAAAAGTGGTCACATTTTTGGTAATTGACTTTAAATTAGTACTACCTCAGTCCCAAATTGTAAGATATATTTACTATTCACTTGGTCAACATAAATCACTTTTAATCTTTTACTTTATATATCAAAAGTTTATGAAATTTGAATTAGTTTTTGCAGGTTTTGTAGCGGTTTTAATGTAGTTTCTGAGTATGTAAATTTTATTTTCTAAAACTAATTTGAGTGTTGACAGAGATCAATTTACTTTATTGTCGGTCAAAAATCGTAAACCGTCAAGTATCTTACAAATTGAGACGGAGGGAGAATTCAAGGCAAAAGCCCTTGTATTATTCCTATTAGCTTAGTCCGGTTTGTATATTCAGGTAGGACTCTTGTTTATGAATTATGACCCAAGTGCATGGGTTGTGTATTATACCCTTTATTTATAAATACTCATCAATACTATTTTCCCCTATATTCCATCACCTTCAATAAAATATACTCAATTTTTTTTACATATCAAGTTGGGAAAAAATTAATTAAGTTATTATAAGAAATGTCATTTTTTTCTTTTATATGAATTTTTATGAAATTAAAAAACACATTTCGATGTTTTAAAAAAATTGTAAATTTTTTTTAATTACTTTTTTCAGTTTTCATAAAAAATAGAATGAGATCTTGTTATATTCAGTTATTTATGGAGGCTCCATAAATTAAAAACTTGTATTTTGTGTTTTGTTAGGCGCAAGGAAACTCCAACAACTAAAACTTCATGACATGACACAGGGATGACGTCTTCCACACTTTCCTTTGCAACCTAGGCCACTCCTTCCCCTCTTCCCCCTGTCAACTTCCCCTCCAAATTTAAAACCCTCCACCCTTTCCCACTTTTAGTCCCCAACTAGAACCAATTAGGAGTCCAAAATCGTCCAAATTTAACATTTGAACTCTTAGAATGTTTTTACTTGGGCTGTAATTCCTCCCAGACCAGACCAGACTAGTTCAGACCAGACCAGACTTGAATTGTTATAAAAAAACAAAAACAAATCAGACCAGACCAGACCAGCAAATTACAGTACAAGTAAAAGCATCATTAATCCCTCCCCACTACAAATGGTCTTAGGTGAATTCTCATGGGTCAAATTTATTGACTATATTTAATAGTAACGCCAAGGATGAATAAAAGATGTATACTATTCAAAATATTATTGAAATAAACTTATTCAAATAATGTTAAATAAATCTTATTATTATGAAAAAGTCGATTAAGATCTTCAACTCAAATATGAACACCCAATTAAATCCATGAATACATAAAAAAAATAAAAATTGACGGTTATCTCTTGATTTCTAGGTAAACTTTGGTGGTAGTCGGTAGCTGATAGCATATGATATGACTTTTATTTTTGAATACAACCCGTAGGCGGGAGCCTTTGCGGCACTGGGATAATGATGATGATAAATTGAATACAACCCGTGCAACACATGTGTAGTAAGTTTTTGTGTGTGTATGACACCAATGTATCATTTACTTTATGATACGTGTCACAAGTTTTAGAGATATTATTCTTACTCCCTATCACAATATTTTATGATAATGTATTATTGCAAATTCAAACTATTGGTGACATTAAATTTGAGTTCACATTTTTCAACTTTCTTTGACATAAGTATCTTGTCATTGAAACTTTCAGTGATAATAATTATATGTCGCTATAAAACATACTAGTGTGGGTATACATTGTAGGAAAACTTTAAGGTGTATCATGCGAATATTATATATGTTGGTCAATCCAATCTAACTCAATCCATATGTAGTCAAAAAAGAACTCGCATAACAATAATACTCTCAATTTAATGATACAATCCAATCGTGAAATTAAATACGAATATATTGTATTTGTAAGTCTTGTTTCAGTTTTGTATCTTAGGAACATGTTGCTTGCTACTACTATATCTGTAATAATGTGTATTCACAATTTGGATTTTGATCTTTTCTTTCTACCACTTAAGTATATGAAAATGAAGGGGAGCAAAACTAGAAAGGGTAATGCAAATGGAAGATGTTTCCAAGAGGTAACATACAAAGCATTCAACATTCCATAACTCATCACCTGCATCATCATAACTTTATAATCAGTATGAATCTACCATAACTGTGTGAATAGATCACTAAAAAATGACAACATATATAGGAAAAGAAACTGCCTCATAGTGGACTAAAATAATAGGGCTGAAAAATTCCCAAGTAGGAGTATGTATATTTTTTGGTTTTTATATATAGGAGTAAGTTACTCATACTTAGAAGTATACATGCATGTTCACTTCTCATTATAGAAGCAAATTACTTAGGGAAGGACTCACATAGATGCACGTGGGACTACTTTTACTCATATAACTTGATTTATAGATGCATTTTGGGTAACTTTTACTTGTGTATAAGTAATTTTATACATAACATTTTTTGGTTTTCTGGTATAAAACTTTGTAACATTTTGTCCTAAAGCCCACTTACAAAGTAACAAAGCATTAAAAGACCCATAATATATAGAGCACGCTAGCGTGTTCACTAAGGAGAACGTTCGCGTGATGAATAGTCGGGATTCTCTAAATATTATAGATGAATGAATGCTAGTCATTCATCACGCCAGTGTGCTCCATAAATCTACTCTTATTTTAGAGACTACTTACCTCTGTGATCACTTTCTTTGACCCTCGTTGCTTTTGCTTCTCAAAGATCAGCTGTGCATATTCATAAAGCTGCATATCTAGGTTGTTCAGTGCACTAATTTCATCGATAATTCTCCTTGGAACCTGATGTCGACTCTGTTTTAAATTCCGAAGAGTATTATTAAAGTGTTACATTCGCAATATATTACGGAGTATTTAGCTAATACCCCCCCTGTCCAAAAAAAAGAGAAATCCTATTTGCAACACTTTTTTGATGATCATTTTTTCGGCAAAGTAGTTTATTTTACCTCTTTGGTGAAATTTACTGGAGCGATATATTTCACAGATGATGCACGCCTTTGTCTTTGAGATTCAAGTGACCTTTGAATGCACGTTTCATATAACTTCACAAGCTTTCTTGTTGTCTCCTGAGTATTATTAATTATTTTTTGAAAGAAAAAAAAACAATGTTATTGGCATGTGATTGACACAAATTAATAGTGTTTGACACAGATAAAGACATATTTATCACACAGGTCCAAATCAAACAACTTGGGACAAAACATATTTGGTAGGGATTTATAATGTATTCGACAGGGAACCGCAGAATCATGCCATATTTGTGCCAGAATCCCTACCAAATACGTTTTGACATGGATAGTGTCGGCCAAATTCTTGATAAAGATCTGTCTGAACTGTGGTGCAAGTATTGTATATGTGCATGTGCGTAATAGCATTCTCTGCTCATGAACTTTGCATTCATTATTTCAACATTTTCATACCATATAGTTTCCGTAACATTTTTGGTAATCATAATTCTTCTAAAATTTGGCATGGCATTACTAACCAGTTTTAAACAAAATTATTTCCAAAAGAAATAAGCCCTACAAAACTACAACTTAGCGTTTGTTTAAAAATAAGACTACATATAATTTCTAACTATTTTTTAGTTTGGAAAGTATAATTATTTTAGACTAAAGTAACCTCCTTTGACAAATCTTATAAAAGATGATCCCTACCCTTTTAGAGCTTGAGTTTCTGAATGGATCGATATGTTCTGCGGGATACAAAATTAACATCATTAAATTATCAATAATGATAGTAGATTTATGTTAAAATACAGAGTAACTTTATAAAAGAGAGATAACAATGTTCCAAAAAATGAAAAAATGTGAGGTAATGTTTTATAATATTGCCTCCTTTTTTAATTATCACATATATCTCTTTGCTAAGTTTTCTTATAAAAAGATTGTTATACTCTCACTTTTATCACTCTTACTTTTTTACTTGATTATTTATACAAGATACGTTCTCTTTCTTATTTTTCATTACTTTCATCTTCTTATATTTTGGGAAAATTCTAAAAAAAGTAAAAATGATTAGGAATTCCAAAATATGATTGATGTGTTTTTCTTCCGTAAATAGAAGTATATTACTACAATCCTGAAAATCTACTCTGTTTTGGCATTATGAGGTTTTAAACATGACTGTATATGATCAAAACTGATAGTATTTTTTAAACTTGACAAAACCAATTACTCTTATTTAGAGAATAAAAACATAACATTTATATTTTGAAATTTTCAAACGTTTACTCCTATTTAGGACAATTTCCTTAATACTCTGTATTTGACTCCGTATATTTCATACCTTTTCATTTACCCTACACTCGTATAATTTTCTGCTTAAAACACACAAAATACTTAATGGGACACTTAAAAAGGAACGGAGAATAATACTAATGTTTTATAATGATATACACTAACTTGAATGGTTGATAGTGGAACCATTAACACCCAATCGCGATTGAGCTAATTTAGATATGACTTGATCACCAACCACACTTGCAAATAAGGCAGCTGACTCTTTGTGCTTATCAGTGAGCCCAATATACAACATACCATCCAACCTCCTCTGCATGATTCACAATATAGTTCAAGAACCTAACACACACACACACACACACACACACACACACACACACACACACACATATATATATATATATATATATATATATATATATATATATATATATATATATATATATATATATATATATATATACTCTAGGGGGCATCTAGAGGAGGGGGCTTGGAGTAATCAGGGTTGAAACTCACTCCATTGAGTTTAAAACCCTTATGTGCCTAGCGGGTTTCAAACTCGAGACCTCTCACTAGGCACGGTAACCTCACAACTAGCTGGGCTGGAATGCTTGGTTAGAACCTAACATATATAATTGCATACATTATGCATGTAGAAGAATAAGTAAACCATATATCTTACCCATAAATTATTAAATAAGATTATATAACTCTGTGAAGTCTTTCATATTTACCTTGGCAACTTCAAGAACATATTCACCAAGAGTGTGGTATTTCAATACACAATTGCGCACATCATCTGACACTTTTGAGTAAGAGTTGTTTGTGAGTCCTGCAACCTATTAAAAATTGGTGTTACTTTCATTAGAATCATCTTACCTATAAACTTAATAAATTGACAGTTTGAGCAGAAATTTATACTTTCTGAATTATTATATATTTCAACATACTCAAGTAAAAGCTGCAGAAAAAATCAAGCCACAAAAAATTGAAAGTTTATAATTGGAAATGTTAGTCCACAAAAGGTATGATAGAGTACCTGAAATGTGGCACCATTGTGAACAAGATCCAATGCAATAGGCTCATTGATGAATTGGTGCAAAGGCATCACAATATCTCCCATATTGTATGGCTCATTGGTTTTTATAAGATTTTCACCCTTCACTTCTCTCATATTTTTCTAAAGAAGAAAAAGTTAGAGAAATATACTTATGCAGTCCCATAATGTATGTTTGTGCTCGTAATTATTGTTGTAACTTTACTTACATATCATGTCATGTAATCAATAAATTTGCCTATATTATTGAGATTTTCTTCAAATGTCAATTTCAGGGGGAAAATCTACTGGAAATGTTGCCGTTGACGTGGAATTTTTAGGTGAAAATAAATCATTCTTGTACTATAAAGATAACTTTATTAGTTACAAAACATAACCAATAAGGAGAAAAGTTACAGAACTATTGTATTAATGGGTACAATCATAAGTTATAGGACTGACTAAATATAATAGAGTAGTATAAGGACTTATGTGTAAATACTCTTGATTATTATGAGCGTAAATATAATGCTAGGGATCCCATATGGGCAAGCCATTCTTTCCTCACAATAATTCTCTCACATGGTATTATTAGCCTAGGTTTTTTCCCCCTAACCCTACACTTATGTCAACCAATCCCTCCCTTTCTTCGGCAGCCATCACGTCGACAGTACCAGTCGTTACCTCGGCGCCCTCTACGGTGGTGCAACCGTTTTCATCTCAACCGCATCCAGCAGTGGCACATGTGACGCCCACATCACGTCTGGAGCAACCCAGTTTTGGCCTTACCTTATAATCAAAACTTTCCTCGCCTCGCGTGGCCCATCCACCAGAGCTCAGCCAATATCGGCTGTTTAACATGCCAGAACTGTTCAGTTGGACGCCGACAGCCTGCACCTATGTTTTTCAGACTGCTGCTGCACCACTCCATCAGTCTGCACCAGTTGAAGCCGCTTCCACAAGTTTTTCAGGCCCCACATTCTCCGGGCAGCCAGGTTTATCTCCAGGACCCACGGTAAACTCTACCCCGTTATCTACGTTAGCCTCACAATTATCGTTTTCCACACCGGATGTTACTAATATTGTCACCACTCGGTTGGATACGGTTGAGGATTATTTACCGTGGCGTACCCAGTATGAATCATTTTTAGTATCTCATGGTCATTTGGAAATTATTGATGGCTCCATTCCTGCGCCCTCACAATCTATTTTAGATCATATTCGATGTGAAATTCCCAATCCTGAGTATCACTCTTGGTTAAAAATTGATCAAACTGTGAGATCTTGGTCATTTGCTACTCTTTCCCGTAATATTTTAATTGAAGTTCATACTCTGCGCTTCTCTGCATTAATCTGGGAAAGATTGGAAACTTGTTTTATGGATGACAATATTGCTAGAGCCATGGAACTTAAGAGGCTCTTGTCCAATCTTAAGAAAAAAGAAGACCAGTCCATGGATGACTATTTGCGGGAAATTATTGTTCTGACGGATGCTCTCGCATCTATTAATTCTCTAGTTAGCAATCGTGATCTTCCTCAGTCCATGATTCTTGGCCTTGGAACAACGAGTCTACGTACCCAGTTAATGGCGTTGGAACAACGAGTCTTATACATTCGGTCTCAAGCTTTTCACCCGGGTCATCAAGCTTTTACTGCTCAAGACTAGTCTGTTGCCAGGGCTCCGGGCTGAGAGGGTGCTCCAGCCCGTGGTGGCAGTGGAGGCAGAGCTTATTGTGGTGGTCGGGCTCGTGGACATAGAGGTCGTGGCCATGGGCATGGTGGTCAACCACATGGACAGCAGGGTCTGCCGGCAGTTGCTCCGAGATTTGTGCAGCAACCTTTTGGGCAGTTTGGCTGGCAGCATCCGGGTCCAGGTGGTCCGATTCGTGGTGCAGCTCTGGCTGGGTATCCAGGTTCGGTTATGGGTAATAATAGTAGAGTTTTATATAGTATTAATGCTTTATCATCTTTTGTTACTCACCCATGTTTTACAGGATTCCCATTAGTTGAGAACTCTTTTAAGTCACCTCCACCTCCTATGGTCTGTCATCTTTGTTTTTCTCCAAGTAGTCATTCTGCTATAAAATGCTCCCGGATCACCAATTCCTCTACCCCAGCACTGGCGGCGCTTCCCACAGGCGAGACCAATGCCATAGTTCGGTATCCGGATTCTGGTGCCCCGCCTTACATGACCCCACATGAAGGTATTTTATCTCCTAAATCTACTTATACCGGCCTTATTTCTGTTCACGTTCCAAATGGTAATAATCTCCCAGTTTCTCATGTTGGTAATGTCAGCATAAATACCGCCACTCGCCTGCTCATTTTAAAATCAATCTATCATGTTCCGCACCTTAAATATAATTTATTATCGATCTATTCAATGTTTGTGTGCGGATACTGATTGTTCTTTTAATTCTAATAAAAATTCTTTTTCTTGTAAGGACAATCACATAGGGGCCACACTTCTCCAAGCCTACAATAAAGACTCCATTTATCCTTTTCGAGCTGCTTACACGCCACCCTCATCTCTTGCTTTAAAGATATCACTTGTTTCTATTCCATTTTGGTAAAAATGTCTTGGCCATTGTGGGGATCGTGTTAAATTTATCTTGGGAAGCATAATTTAATTTCTAGCTCTCGTACTTTTCTCATAATTGTGTGACATGTAAACTGGGCAAGTCCCATCGTCTTCCTTTTCAAGATGTTGATCATGATTTTATGTAACTTATTCATTCTGATGTTTGGCAATCACATGTGTTATCTAATTTAGGTCTTAAATATTATGTTTCATTTATTGATGATTTTCTCGCTTTACTTAGGTCTATCACATGCATAGAAAATCTAAAGCTTTTACTCTTTTTTGTATTTTTCGAAGAGTAGTTGGTTGAAAACTTATTTAATTGTAAAATAAATGTTTTCAAAGTGATGGTGGTGGTGAATTTGTAAACTTCTCCTTCAGTAATCACTTTCTTCAGTGTGGTATTCTTTTCGCAAATCTTGTCCGGATACCCTCGTGCAAAATGGTGTGACTTAACGAAAACACAGACATTTGCTTGAGTTATCTCGTACTATGCTTATAGAAGTTAATCTTCCTCCTACTTTTGGGTAGATGCTCTATACACTGCTACTTTTAGTATTAACCGTTTTCCCACATCTACTTTGTGTGGCCTATCTCCGTACGAGCTTTTATTTCAAAAATCTCCACACTATGATTTTCTTCGTGTTTTTGGTTGTGCATGCTTTCCCAATTTTATTGCTAGTTCCTCAAATAAATAATTCTCACGGTCCACTCTTTGTGTTTTTCTGGGTTATGCACCGGGGTGTAAAGGTTACCACTGTCTTGATCCTCACACTGGTCGTGTCTATATAAGCAGGGATGTTGTATTTCATGAATCCTCCTTCCCATATTCCTCTATCCGCCAAAATCCTGGTTCCACTTCGAATGCTTTAACCCCTCCTCCCTGGACCATCACCATCCCCACTACACTTCCCCTTTTTACTCCCAGCCGTAACTTGACCAACACTTTACACACACCCATTGTCCTTTACCATCCCCAAAACTCGGACAGTCCTCCCTCTCCCCAAAACCACAACCAGCACTCATCATCCATCACACCATCAGTAGACTCACCACCCATGTCTGCCACTGAGCCTATCACCCCGTCCTCCCCCTCGGAGACTACCTTCGACCCACTGACACCACCCTCCGTCACTGTTCCCACCTAGAGCCCCTCAGCTACGACTTCCCCTTCCGGCTGAAACCTTATTCTGTCTGTGGCTCCCAATGTTCACTTGATGCGCACGAGAGCTAAAGATGGTATCTTTAAACCCAAAACTATTTTTACATTAAACACTTCAGCTCTCCCTAGTGACCCCACATGTTTTTCTCAAGCAAATAAAAATATTATTTGGCGGGCAGACATGGCAGATGAATTTAATGCTCTTATTGCTAACAAAACTTGGGAATTAGTGCCTTACGATAAGACCACAAATGTGGTTGGGTGTAAATGGATTTATAAGACTAAATATCATTTTGATGGTTCTGTTGAGCGTCACAAAGCTAGGTTGGTAGCTCAGAGTTTCAACCAACAGACTGGGATGGATTTCTATGAAACTTTTAATCCTATAGTCAAATGTACTACTGTTGTCTGGTTCTTTCCGTTGCTATATCTTTTGGTTGGACAATTCGTCAGTTGGATGTCAAAAATGCATTCCTTCATGGTCACCTTACAGAAGAAGTTTTTATGCCTCAGCCTCTAGTTTCATTCACCCCCATTATCCCTCTCATATATGTCGTCTTCGAAAAGCACTTTATGGCCTTAAACAAGCGCCTCATGCTTGGTTTCACATGTTTAGTGGTTTTCTTCTTTCTCATGGATTTTCTCAGAGTTAGTCTAATTCTTCCATGTTTACATACCACTATCAGTCTGGGATTATATATATTCTTTTATATCTTGATGATATTCTTATTACTGATAGATCTCCATCTTTAGTTCACCAGTTTATTCAGCTTTTATCCAGTCAGTTCGCCATGAAAGATTTGGGCAATATTCACTACTTCCTTGGCATTTAGGCTCTTCGCACCCTGAAGGTATGTTTTTATCTCAACAAAAATATTTCACTGATCTTCTTCAGCGTTTTCATCTCCATACAGTCAAACCACTTTTCACACCTCTTCCTCCACGCACTACTTTATCTCTTTCTGATGGGGATCTTTTAACTGATAGTACTGAGTATTGTAGCATGGTAGGTGCATTACAATACTTGACTATTACTCGACCAGATATTACTTATGTCGTACACCTAGTTTCTCAGTTCATGCATGCTCCTTGTACTACTCACCTTGCTACTGTGAAAAGAATTTACAGGTATTTGCAGGGAACTACCTCTCACGACCTCCGGCTCTGTTCTAGTCAAAGCATTTCTGTTGTTGTGGCTGGCCTATTCAGATGTTGATTGGGAAGGATGTCCGGATAGTCGTCGTTCTACCACTAGCTATGCCTGTTTTCATTGGTGGTAACCTGATCTCATGGCGGTCAAAGAAACAACCCATGATATCCAAGTCTTCCACAGAGGCTGAGTATTGTGTTGTTGCATACACTGTTCAAGACACCTTGTTCATATGATCGTTGCTCTCGGACATGGGTATATACATTTGTTAGTATATATGTCCTAGCGACAATCACTTTTACAGATATATGTACTTGATCACATTCAGTTTTATATATTTGATATATACGGTATTTCACATTGATGATTAAGCATTTCAATTGTCAATGTCATATTCATAATTGTGTTTCCTTGGACTTATGTTGTCAATAAGTAAGTGAGAGCTTATATGATATAACATAAGGTCCTAAAATAGCCCCGATCAATGATCATCAAGGAAGAGATATTGATGATATGCGATAAGATTGGTATGTGGACTGCAACATACTTTTAGAAAGTTTAGTTGATCTCACAACTATGAGTTCCTGTAATTCATGGTGGTCACATAAATATTTTAGAGAATATTGACATACCCACCAAGAAATCATTTGATAAGTTCTATTCATGTGTCTGTGGGATTATCGGCGTATAGAGTAGTGTAATAGTCCCCCGACTTGAGGTCAATACATACTACATGTGCAGAGTGATGTACTTTGACCATGACCAACACTTGCACTCTAATCGAGGTAGATACAACATGTGTTGGGTGCATCACGAAGCACATTAAGTAGTAGTTGAGTCAAGAAAGGATTCATTCCTCATAATAGATTAAGGGAGAACATTCTACTTCTCATATCTAGATGGATCATAAAGTCATTGGCCAATGCAAAGATATATTCGTTTTGGATATCGAATATGATCGTTATGGATCATCTAGAAAGATTGAGAGATAGAGACTAAGTTATTGGAATAGACACAATATGAAGTTCTAGAGTTAGTTGAATGTTCATTGAATGAAAGGAACGTATCACTATGAGCTCTATATTACAGGGAGTTTGAATAGTCTTCGCAAACGTCCTTATATATTGAGTTTGTCTGGAGAATCGTCTAGGGATTCGCTAAGACCTTAATTTGATTCGTGCTTAATATATAAGGTCCTTTGAGTCACACAACAAGTGATTATACCTTCCGATTGAATTGTTAGAAGGAATTAAATATTAATTGGATTAAATAATACTGAAAAAATAAGATGAGTTAATTATTAATTAGATTAATATATTTATTTCATCATGTTGAAGGAAAGTTTTATTTGATAGAATTAACTAAGTTTGATAAAGTAGATTTATTATACTTAATTTAGATGTATTTATTATTAAATAAAGTTGATATTTTCTTTTGTAATTTAGAATTAAAAAGAAAAATAAATAAACTAAATAATAATATATATAATAAATAGAGAGTGGCGTAAGACCACTTCTCTATTGTGGTTATTTTTATTATTATGATTTTGTTTTTATTTTATCTACTTATTTAATTAAATGGAGTATTGATCCTAACAGGATTAGAACTCATTAATTAGAAAGACTTTCATTGTGATTGGAAAACTAGTTTAGAACTAGTATAAATACATCATTCTTCTTCATAATTTTTGACTAGTTTTCTAGATTTTGTATTACCAGTTTATTTCCATGCGAAGAGATTATTTCCTCGCCTTTCTCTTAGGGAGATCTAACCGTTCTTTCGAAAAGGATCACGTGGATACCTAAGGTCAAGGATTATCACCGCTACACGGGAAGATCTGTAAGTTCTCACTCAGATCTATTATTATTATTGTTATATTCGTTGTTTTGTCATAATCAGGGATGATTTGTTTTGGGAAAAATTTTAAACTTTCGTTGTTGTACTTTTGAGGTACGTTACATCAATTTCCTAACAACATTTCCACTTCTGTTCAGTTATTTTGTGACAATGTCTCGACCTGGCGGTGAATCCTATCCAGCATGATCACAACAAGCATATCAAGATCGATTATCATTTTGTTCATGAACGTGTGGCTCATGAAGATCGAGTGGTCAAATACATTCCTACTCAGTATTAGCTATCAGATATTTTTACCAAAATTCTGAGTAGTCAACGTTTTGAATTTTTATGTTCCAATCTGCACGTGATTTCCCCTGCACAGATTGAGGGGTGTAATAGAGTAGTATAAGGACTTATGTGTAAATACTCTTAATTATAATTAGTACAAATATAATGCTAGGGCTCCCATATGGGTAAACCATTCTTTCCTCACAATAATTCTCTCACAAAATATGCATTTTTTAAAGTAATGAGTAACTATCAAATTGTTACTTTCAGAAAGATAACAATGAGAGAATATAACTACACAATAGTACTTGAGGTATAAGAAATTAACTACGTAGAAGGCAACAGAGGTTATTTCATTTGAAAAGTAATTAAGAAAACATACTCGAGCAAATAGATCTTCTATCATCCATGGAACCAAGAACTTCCATGGCCATATATCTAGGGTGTTTCCTCCTAGTTTCTCAACACTAACAGGTCGACGATTAGCCATTTCAGTAGCATAGGTTAAATTGGGAAACATTAGTGACCTGGCTGCAACCTCCACAGAAAATTCATAAGAACTAAACACACGATCTACTGGATTCCTGATAACTGTCACCACAGAAGTTTTATCATATGGTAGTTTAGACATCAAGCTGTAATCATCATGAGTTACAGTCAAGTTGCATCCTGGATTCCTGCACAGCTTTGAAGGGTATAATAGTCCTCATATATGCAAACAATATATGCAAACAACAAGTTATGCAAGTCAGAGATGCTTTTCGCCAAATCTCTGCCGCAACTAAAGCACGCTTAACTATGGAGTTCTTAATTTTGATAGTCAGTGCCGGCTATAGTGGGGAGGCACCTAGGCATATGCCTAGGGCACCACTATCATGTGGGGCACCAATTTTTAAAAATATAATTATTATTGCTATATGTTTGTATTTTATATTCTTAGATTTAATAATTAAAAATTGTGTTCTTAATTTATTCAGTATAAATATTGAGAAGTTTGTAATACAACTAATTATAATTAAGTACTACTCACTATTGCTATTTTTCTCTATAAATTTTGTTAGAAATTATTTTAATAAAAAATATCTTCAACAGTACTACTATACCTTCATTCCAAAGTAAGGTTCATGTCATGTATTCGTCCGGTCAACTAAAAATATTCTTAATCTTTCACTTTATATATCCAATTTTTGTCATATCTGAGTTTTTACTGACTTTATATAACTTTTAATGTAGTTTCTTTAGATGTAAACTCTACTTATTAATAATAATCTTATTATTGATAGATATCAGTTAACTTTATGGTCAGTCGAATATCATAAACCAAAATGAGAACCTTTACTCGGGACGGAAGGAGTATCCCTGAATAAATAAGTGGTCTAGCTATGTCATTAATAGAAAAAATGTTTTACTTACCTTTAATTATGTTAAAATTAACAAACTTTACACTTCAGAAGGCAAGAATTAAATAATAGATCATTAAAAGTAGTCTTTTTACTTTTTGTACTACAAAGATATACATGTTTCAAATTTTATATGATTTGTTTGTGAGTGTTTTAATTTATCTGCACAATCTTCCTTTTATTATTTATATAATCAACTATACTCTATATACAATTATTGTATAAAACATTAGTAATTAATGTGAAGTGATAATTTTAGTATTTGTCTGAGACACCAAACATACTTAAGACGGCCCTGTCGATAGTTATCCAATCTCATCCAGTCATCCTTTAACTTGATTTAGTGATATGCAGTGGACGTTCGCAATAAAACCGTTTCTCTCTGTGTTGCTCGAAAACTGTTTAGAATGTGCCTAGTGTAGTCTACAATATTTCATACACTTAATTTGCATAAAACAGAGTTATTCAAAGAAATATCAAAACCAGTTACCTTGGATCAAACCTTAACTCATCATAGGAGAGTGGGCACTTTGAAGAGGGATCATAGAGCTGCCCCAGAAAACTTGAAACAAACAAATGTAAGAAAAAAGGGTTAAAAGAAGCTTAATGTAAGTTGCACTTAGAGGGCATTGGTTTGTTATTCAAGAAGATAGAGTACCAGTGGAAATAATTGTTTCCCCCTGTCCTGGGAACATGAAGGAAAAATAGCAAATCCTTCAATGTCTTTTGATCTTCAAAGACTTCAAATTCTTGGGAAGAAGATGCCCAGTTCTTGATTGTGGTTTCACACTGCTTGAAAGATGCTTTGGCGTCGGTTTTGTCAGTTGTTGAAAGAACTGGTGAATACATTCTATTTAGCACATACCCAGAGCTTCTATCTATCTATTGGCTCAATTCTCCTAAGAAATGTATGTTGTGGCATGCGAATAAAAAATGTAATTTCCTCTCCTAGGTTAGTGGAACACAATTTGGAAGGTTATATAAATAAAAAATGTTTGGTTTACCTCTTTTTGTATAAACCTTTGACATACGTTGTCTGTTTATACAGACAACTCATATTAAAATACAGAAGTTGTCTGTATACAAATAACTTTCTCGATGTAGCTAGACAGACAATGTATGCCAGAAGTGTATATAAAAAATTATATACCAAACATTTTTCTTTCTAAATACGAAAAATTCTTAATATGTGTATCACAATGGGCATAGCTAGGGAGTGACACGTGACCCCAAACGTATTTGGAATTGATTCTACTTTTACTTTTTTACAAAACTTGGAAGACATATATAAGGATTATGTTAAGTCTAGATATTGGCAAGCCTTTGAAAGGGAGAATGAAAATTGAGAAAGAGAACACATGGGGAATGTTTTTGAGTGGAATATAAATATGAGAAATTCTCTAACTTATTTCGAAAACATTACTAAACTAAAACATATTTACAAACATATGACTAATGCAATGTCATGGTAACTCCTATTTGAAAATTGAACATAAGTTACTATGAATTCATTACTACTTTAGTCATTAGTCACATTTTTGTAAACAATCTTTACTTTGATCATAAATATGTAATTATTTCTTAGTTTTGTTGGTGCTAATTGACATTCTATAGATTTTTCATCCTAAAATTTGAAAAGGATACAATTGGGTTGAATAAGCCATATGGACCTCGAGTGAGGGTTGAAAGTGACTGAACTAGATTAAGTGGGAGTAATATGTGATTGATTTCAAAGAGAGGTGTATCTCAGATCAGGAATCTTGGTGATGTGAGTAGCAGAAGTATAGAAGACAGTGTAGGTCAATAATACTAGAAGCTAAGGTGAGGGTGGAAAAACTTAGGATATGTTTGGAAGTTTGGAAGGAGGGGTGAAGACTTGAGGTATGTAGGAGCAATAAATTTGAGGAGCAATAAATTTGGGATATAGAGGGAGAGAGAGGGAAAACTTCATTCTTTATATTTAGGAGCAATAAATTTGAAAGAAATAAGCTTTTGAATGAATTATAATTAAAATCACTTTGAGATATGACGAATTCAAAAATTGAACTAATATTCATTTTTTAATTAAGCTTAAATTTTCATTTCGTTAACTATCATTCAAAAATCCTTCAAATTGGAGCAACTTAGAAATTGAGCGAGGGTTTTAGAAGGTCATGAACGTCCTCCAAGACCGCTCCCTTCAATTTTTTGAACTCCCAAATATGAAAAATAGGTTATAAACCCATAGACCTTCCACTCCCCTCCACAATCCAGTTCCCAAACACACACCTTAGGACTATGAAGTTGATTGTGGGTGCTCGACTGGAAAGTAAACAAAAGAGACGTCGAGTATCTGATGGAATGGAAGATGCTTGCTTAAATGTACTCCGTACATAGTTTGAGTGAATAAAAAAACATCTATTTTAATCAGGGCCGACTAGAGCAATTATGAGGCCCTAGACGGTCATGTAGAAATTTTGTTTTAAATATGTTTTATTTAACCCAATGATATAGAAAATAGCAATTAAATATAAGTAAATTACATATAAAATACATCATATACTATTAACACAGTGAGAATATTCTTCGAAATCAGAAGATCAAAGTTGATGAACAAATACAAAGAGCCCTAGAGGGAGAAGGTTTTGTGCTTACATACAACATACCGATCGATAGAGCCGGAAAGTGATTTCATGACCAAATCATTTCTTAATTTTTTTCTCTGTCTTTGTACATCTTGATTCATATTTTGTTTTCCAATCATCACAAAACATAAAATTTCATTCAAAATAATACTATCACTAAATATACGTTAATGGTTCATAGATATAAATTTAATTCACTAAATTTAATCAAATATAAAAAATTATAAGTATGTTCAATATTTCGATGAATCAAAATAACAAATTACAATTTCAATTATTCAATAAGCATTCAAATATATTTAGAATACTCATTATCCTAAATCCCTAGCCCTACTGCCCTAGCCAACAAAGAAAAAAAAAAGGAAAAAGGAGCAAATAAGCCCACATACTAACCAAAAAGGTCAAATAAGCCCTTGTATAAGAGACTTTGTCCCGCCGTCGCCATTTGGGGCAGTTCCCGGTGGAATTTTTTGATGAAATTTTTTGCGAATCTTATTCATTATGTCTTGTTTCCTTATAACAAATTTCAGCTAACAATACAACATTGAAGGCATTCAAATAAATTCTTGAAGATAACTGCGCTTTTAACTGCGCAGTTATCTTCAAGAATTCATTTGAATGTCTTCCCGATTGAATTTTTAGGTGAAATTTGGTATGAGTAAACTAGACATAATGAATAAGATTCTAAAAAAATAATCATCAAAAAATTACAAAGGAAACTATCCCAAATGTTGACGGCCGGACAAAGTCTCCTAAATAATATTAATAAGCTTATTTTATAAATTAGAGGCCCCTAAAATTTGGAGGCCCTAGACACTTGTCTAGGGTAACTCCCCTTATGGCCGGCCCTGATTTTAATGCTTAGTTATTTATTACTCAACACATCATTTAAGATAAAGATGATAATATGCTCCGTAATACTCCGTAGATAATATCTCCCGGGATAACTTTATGGGGTTTTTACAAGAATATTACTAAAATAAGTCATATTTACATAAATATGACTATCCATTACTATAATGTGGTGTTGTGGTAACTTAAGCTCAAAACTTGAACATGAATTACTATGATTTCATTACTACTCTAGTCATTAGTCATATTTTTGTAAATCATCTTTATTTTGGTCATATTTATGTAATTATTTCTAACTTTATTTAGCTTATTAGTTTTAGTGGTTAATTTTTTTTACCAAACACGCAACTTTTGATATTGTAAGTTGAATTATATAATAATCAAAATATGTAAGAATGAAATAATGTTTCTTCCTTAATAAAATAATTAGAGAAACATTTTAGCTATTTTTATATAATCTTTCTTTATTTGATTACTAAAATATATTTTAAATATATATTTTTATAATTAATCAAATTTGGCCGATTTCAGTGTTACCAACCAAGCTCTTAATACTACAATGTCCATCTATTTTATTTATTTATCATTTACAATGTCCATCTATTAGTAAGAGCAAAATAGTTCAACTGTTATTAGATCCACATAAATGTATTTATGATTGAAATACATTGATGTCCCGATCAATTCAGTAATTGGTAAAAAACAACATGTGTAGAATTTATTTTAATTTGATCAAGCATTGATTCTAGCCTATTTCTAGCTATGGAAATAAAAAAAATCCTTATAACAATCTTTCAAAAGTATTCATAAAAATGAAGATGACATGTTGATCTTTAACTCAACTTTTGCTTCACTTTATTTGTCTAAGTGGGAAAGTAATTGTAAGGAATATATTTTTAAGTAAAAATTATTGTAAAGCACATGCACATACTTAAATATCTGAACAAAATAATGCTCCACTCTTAATAATAATAATATTATTAAAAAAATTCTTTTATAATAAATGGAGTGGGTAATAGTGATTCTTTAATTTATTTATCAAATATATTTTAACTAGAATTTCAATTTATATTTAAACTCATAGTAGTGTATATGATATCAGTGAGTTAAAGGATATATATGAGAGTACAAAACAAATATGGATGGGATTGAGTATGCCATCCACTTCCTAACTTGAGATAAAATTGATTGTACTTTATATTATTATAATAGTCAATCATTATCGTCATTAATTGCTATCATATTCATCATAAGGAAAAAAAACTAAATAATGTTAAGAAACCCGTCTTTCATGTATTAAATTTTCAATTTAAAAAGTATATATTCATTAACCATCAAATAATTAATTTTATGTACAGATTCATTCATACAACACACACGGGTGCGTTGTCTAGTACAAAAATACAAAAGAATTTAATTTGTTTAATTAATAATACAATCCAAACAATAAACATACCAGATGTGAAAATGAATAGCCTAAAGAGCACCATCCAACAATTAATCATCTTTCTCATATTTCCACCTGAAGTCCATCAATATTGAAAATATTGTAACAGATTCGCAAAAAATGAAATTGAAAATCTTGTAACAGTAGATGTCTTGTAATTAAATTTGTAAATGAAGTCAACATTTAGTGTTGATTATATATGAAGCAAAACGTTTTATTTAAGACGTGGACGTACCCATCCTGAAATAAAATATATTGGAATGCACTCTGAAATGTCACGAATATATATATATCACTTAGCTTGTTGTATTCTCAGGTGTTGCCCCTGAAAGTGTGAAACAACGTAATTATTTAACTCATTCGTAGCATGATTAATTAATATATCTTATACTTCAAATATGTTTCAAAATAAAGAAATTATGGTTGAGATCTTGAGACCTAATTAGCTTAATAAAAAGAGATAAATATTACGAAAGTATAATACGGAGTAGTACATTTTAGGGGTGGACACGGTCCACGTCAGTCCGGGTAATTGATAAATTTTCAAGAATCGCCGATTCCATTTAACGGGTAGGTTCAGTCCGGGTATACCAAGTTTCGAAATAGGAACTGAACCTTACCTGCCCCGTTTGAAACGGGCCGGTTCAGTCCGAATCCTCGGTTCTTCTTTTGTTAAAAAAATGCGGCTATGCAAGCAAATTTTCTAGTAAGTTATAAACTTCTAAAATTAAATACCTATTAATGTAACCAAAATATAATAAAAACTCAAAATATAAGTATAAGACAAAATTTTAAATTAGTTTACAAAATATAGAACCACAAATCTTTAAATTAAATAATACACAACCACCTTAATCAGAATGTTAATCATCATTCATAAACTAGTTAAAAAGATAGCACCATAAATTCATAAGAAATTAAACTAGGTACTATACATATTTTCTAGGAAAAATTGATTGTAATAATCCCAACTATTGGCGGTCTGCTTATAATAATCCCAACTATCAATTATCTCAGAATAATCCCAACTTTAGTGACCTTC